CTCCAGCTTGCACACCCCTCCCCCCATGTGCACGTGCACTCCCCCTCGTGCACCCACACGCGCGTAACAAGCATCAGACAAGATGCTTTCCAGCCCGTGCCCCTCAGCTCACCCCTCCTCCGCAGTCAGCCAGCGCACAGGCAGCGGGGCACGGTGTGTTCTCTCCCCGGGACACTGCGCTGATGGGCCGAGATAAGGCGCAAAGCAGTGCCCCTGGCTGGGCCGCGGGGTCTCCCACCCATCTCCGACAGGGTATAAATACAGGCTGCTGAGGCCCCAGCCTCTGGCCAGAGGCTCCAGGGGAACTGCTCCACCCAAGCTCCCAGCGGGGTCATGAAGCTAATCATCTTGGCTTTTCTGCTGCTCCTCCTTCATGCCCAGGGCAGCCAGCGACCATCGCTAGCCATGGTAGAGCCTTCAGAGCTGCGCCTGGTGCTGAGCAATGAAGAAAAAAACCTACTATCGCTGCCGGCTAGTGAAGCTGCTCCCCTAGCTGGAGGGGTGGAGGTGCGTGTGGGTGGGCTAGGCCTATGGGGGGGTTGAAATCTGTGATGAGGCAGGGGCTGGAGGCGAGTGACAGATTCTAGCCAGAGTCTTTCTCTTCCAGGTCTCTGACGAGCTGCACTTTGGTGCCAGCAGTGAACTGCAAAGTGCGCCGGTGAGTCCCAGATTTCGCCGCCACAGGGCCGGGTGTTGGCTGCACTGGCACCTCCGGGGGGGGCCAAGACTCGAGCTGTGAGGGGGCAGATCTCCAGAACAGCGCAGGGCTGCTGACAGCTGGGTTGGGCTGGGGCCTTCCTGGTCAATGGGAGTGGGGCTTCTGCTGCTGAGATTTGCCCCCCATCTGGATAGAATCAGATCTGCTCTTGTGTGTGTTGGGGCAGGGAGGCAGGGCTCTGGGCCCCACCCCTGTGAGGGCAGCGGGGCTTAGTGGGTTGGGAGGGTTGGGAGCCAGGACTCCTGTGTTCCCTGCCCAACTCTGGGGAGGGCCCCTAGATCCGAGTCACATGGTACTGTCCGCTAGCGGGCAGGTGCGTTCATTACACACACTGGCTGCCTCAACCTGGCATGTTCCACGCAGGTTCCTTCGGCCTGGCAGGCGGGGGAGTTCCTCAAGTTCTGCCGCTTCTGCTGCTTCTGCTGCAAGATCCACATGTGGGGCTGGGGAGTCTGCTGCCAGCCGAAGAGAGCTGCTGGGATCTGGCCTGCGCCCCCGGCCACCTAGGGGGGCGGGTGCCATTGTAGCACCACCCGAATGGGAGCAGACGGCCGGAGACGGCCCAGGCTGCCGCCTGCTCCAATGTTGGAAGTGGGAGGGCGGGGAGAGGGGGGGAGGCGATGTCTGCGACCAGTTCCAATAAATGCTTCGTGCTCCGAAGGGGGGCAGACGGCCGGAGACGGCCCAGGCTGCCGCCTGCTCCAATGTTGGAAGTGGGAGGGCGGGGAGAGGGGGGGAGGCGATGTCTGCGACCAGTTCCAATAAATGCTTCGTGCTTAACTCTCCCTTATGTGCAAGAGTCATGACCATGAGGGTTAGCCAGCAGTCTGGGAACTAAGGGTCTGTGTACACTAGCCCCCTAGTTTGAACTAGGGAGGCTAATGTAGGCATTCGAAGTTGCAAATGAAGTCTGGGATTTAAATATCCCGGGCTTTATTTGCATCTTCCTGTCCAGGCACCATTTTTAAATCCCCCTAGTCTGAATTAACTGCCCGCGGCTACACGCGGCAGTCAAACGTTAATGTGAACTAAGTCCTTAGTTCGAGTTAACTGTTACGTCTCGTGGAATGAGGTATAACAGTTAACTCAAACTAAGAACTTAGTTCGCGTTAACGTTTGACTGCCGCGTGTAGCCGCGGGCAGTTAGTTCAGACTAGGGGGATTTAAAAATGGCGCCCGGACAGGAAGATGCAAATAAAGCCTGGGATATTTAAATCCTGGGCTTCATTTACAACTTCGAATGCCTACATTAGCCTCCCTAGTTCAAACTAGGGGGCTAGTGTAGACGTACCCTAAGGGGTTAACCTTACCTAAGTCAGGTACATTCAGCCAATAGAAATGTAGGTAGGAATTTCAAACTGGGACAAAGGAATTTTGGGTTTTTCCCTCTCCTTTGTCCTGGGCAGTTTCTCTCCATCTGCTGAGGGAGTCGGACAGAATGTCTCCATCCAAGAATAGACTCTTCATTCTTCTGTAAGTATGGTAAAGTTTAGATACATCCGTTAGGTTTTATTGTTTTATGGTTTGTGAAAAGGGAGCTGATGTCTGTGCATTTAAAAATGCTTGTTTGCTCTCTTTTGTAACTAAGCTCCTGGCCATGGTGGGTTTCTCCTCCATGAGTATATTATGTTGTTACTTTTCCACCTAGTCATTATGCTTGCAACAGGAATATTGTACTGATAATAAAAGTTCTTTCTCTTTTCTTTTCTTACCCTGGCACTGGTTATTTTTTGTGTCCTGGTTTGTACTTTAGGGGTGAGATTTCCCACGTGATTTTCTTATCAATACTTGGGTGGTGGCAGCGGGATTTGATCCCCAAATCTAGGGTTTTAAGATTTTGGGGGGGAAGTTTTATACCAAACAAAGCCTGGCAGATAGGGTTTTGGGGTTCTTTTGCTGGCCCCCACTTCTGCATTTATTGTGCCAGAGTGGGGAAGGAGCCATGACAGCAAGCCCCATGTGACACTGGCCCCTTTCCCTCTAGGGGGCGCTGGCCCCATCTAGGCCCCAGGGGGTGGGATTGGCTGACTCGGGGGAGGGGCAGGGGAAATGTGACATGGGCCCCTTCCCCTCTGGGGGCGCTGGCCCCATCTGGGCCCCAGGTGTGGGACTGGCTGACTCAGGGGTCAGGGACTGAGAACCCGGGTGGCACTTTCTAATGCTCAGATTTAAGGTTGAATCATGGGCAGCGACTGTCAGAACAGGGGAGAACGTCTGGTGTAAGAACAGAGGCGCCCGGTCTCAGGACAGCTGGGGTGGGAGGATGCTGCAAATCTCCTCCTGCTTGTTTCATTCCCAAGTGCAGTTCAGTTCCGCTCTGCTGCATGCTGAGCTCTGTTACCCGTTCAAGGAGGGCGCGTTCAGCCGGCTGCTAGGGGACCCGCAGCTCTCCCAGGGGGGTTGGGATCCAGGCATTTCTGGGGTCTGGCCTCAGCTTTGTCACTGATCTACATTGTGACCTTGGGTATGGACACTTCCCTGCTTTGTGCCTCAGTTTCCCTCTCATGCAACATGAAAAACTGACACACATGGTACCAGGGAAGTGTTATTCACAGAGGGTTAATCCAACAGTTGCCTTCCTCCACTGTCAGTTCCCTGGAACACTCTGAACGGACTAGCCGGTGTTACCTCTCTGCAAGGGGAGTTTAATCTCTGACAAACTTCCTGCACTGTTAGTGAACACAATGACAAGACAGGAGATTTATGGCCAGGCCCCAAGCCAGTGGGAAACACAATGACTACACCAGGCTGATTTGCACGTTGGGCCTCTGGTCCATGGCTAGGCTCCAGGAGGCTACGGTAAGACAATTAATAAAAATAAATTCCAAGGGAGCTATGGCCCATTGACCCCAATTGGGATCTGGCCCCATTGACTTCAATGGAGCTACAGCCCATTGACTCAGCTCGGACCTCCCCCATTGACTTCAATGGAGCTACAGCCTATTGACTCAGCTGGGATCTGCCCCTTTGACTCCAGTGGGGCTACAGGTCATGGACCTCAGCTGGGATATGCCCTCCACTTACCCCAATAGATCTACAATCCACTGATCCCAACTAGGATCTGTCCCATTGACTCGGAAGAATCCATGGCCCTTTAACCCCCAGCTGGGACTTGGCCCATTGACTCCGGTGGAGCTACAGCCCACTGACCCCAGCACAAAGAGTTCACACCTATTTCAGGGCCCTGCTAGGTTTCAGAGCTGGAGCTCCAGCCCAAGCCAGAATGGTACATGGCTATTGGTAGCCCGGCTGCACTAGCCCAGCAAAGTCATGTCTGCCGTTCCAACGTCCTGGTCTTTGATGACATCGTGTTGTGACTGATCAGGGGAGCCAACAACCTGACCAGGCCCCTGGGTGGAATTGAAAGTTTTTCATTTAACAGCTTCAATTCCCGCCTCAAAGCCCAGTTCTCCCATAACACGCTGAGGAAGCTGCCACCTCAGAACAGCTGGGCAGAGGGTGGAGATGTGCTAACTACCGCCTGGCCTCCTCCATTCCTCCCTTGGCCTGTATCGTGATCCCGTCCACTCAACGCTGACGGGTGTTTTGCATCTGTAAGTTCTTCAGGGCAAAAGCTGCTGTTTACTAGATCATCTCCCCTCTGCCTGGCCCATGAATTCCCCGGGAGAGAAGAACTCAATCTGCTGTTAGTTGGGGTCAGTGGTTTAGTTGCACTCGCGGCTCTTTGTTTTCAGTTTGGGCAGATTTTTACTGAAAAATCCTGGGTTCCCCAAAAGCTGTTATTATGTGTTTGCTGAGATTCACCTGACGTTGGGACCACTCCAGTCCAAGAAAGTGCCGATTATGCTCAGCAAGTCCAATACGTTCAGTTCCGGAGATGTGTAGATGTTAATAGGGAGTTAGGTGAAGTGGCCGTGCGTGGGTGTGCGTTACAGTCAAGCAATGTAATAGAAAATACACGTGTGCCTGTGCGTATGTGGACTTACTAGTAAGGTCCAGGTCGCTAAATAAAGCACAACATGAAAATGCTTTTCCAGAAACCTTTTCTCTGTTTGTCACTTTTTCCCATCCTCCCCTTCCCCAACACTAATCCTGATATTTGCCCAAATATTTGCAAAGTTAATGTTTGGCACTGATTTTGACTTTTTTTAAAATTTTATAATAACCACTGACATATTCCCCGGGAATTTCAAATAAAATAAAATCAGGAAAAGGAGAGCCGCATTGGCAATATATATGCTAGCCTGGGAACAGGGGTGTCACCAACTGCAGGCAGGCGCCGCCTCTCAGCAATCCCAGCCTGTCTACTATTGCTCAGTTTCCCAGGAGCAGAGTTCGGTTAAGGCACACAAAATCAATAGCTGAAAATAATTGTAAAAACTTGTGCAATCCTCTGAAAGGCATCTTGCTCAAACTCTATGGCAAACGTACAATTCCAGTTCAAAAGTTGCTAGAAATGAAATAATTCACATCATGCTATAATATAGGTAGCAGCAGGTATTGGCCATTCAGATTTTCACTACAGATTAGCCAGGATGGGTAGGGATGGTGTCTGATCAGGAAATGGGTGACAAGGGAGGGATCATGTGAGGATTACCTGTTCTGTTCCCTCCCTCTGGGGCATCTGGTATTGGCCTGTCAGCAGATGGGATACTGGACTAGATGGACCTTTGGTCTGACCCAGTCTGGCCGTTCTTATGTTCTTAAGGCAGGGGACAGACTCTCTCAGTGAACCCCATCACCCAAGGAAGGACCACGCAGGATGGCTAAGAAACAGGACTCGGATGACTGTGTAACGGCGCCACCTGGTGACTCCTGACGTACCACGTTTGCGTAGAGCCCATCACAGCGGGGTCCTTCTGGCGGAGGGGAGATCTTGGAAGCACTGAGCGTTAAGATGTGCTGGACGCTCTGGGTCCTTGGGATGTTGATAGCCTTTTGTGTCAGGGTGTGTTCTTGGTAGCTGTGTGTTCCTGGCTCCCTGTGGGTTTCCTGTGGAAACTGGCATCCGAGTGGCTCTCTCCCACTGCTGGTTTGGCTGATCCCACCCTTTGAAACGGCTCCTGGCCCAGCCTGTATAAAGGGGCAGCCGGAACTGACACAGGACCCTTGCTGGATCCTCCGCCTGACGGGAGACTTGAACCAAGAGGGCAGCGACCAGCCGGAAGGCCTGGAAACCTCTAGGGATCCCCTTGTGGTGGCCGGGGAGAGCTGCCACAGCCCCGTCTGAGAAGCTCCCTCCTCGCACACACTTCGTCTCCCGAGGACACTGCGCCAGACGAATGCCCGTGGCTGGCAGCCATGTGTCAGGCAGTGAAGTTTCCGGATCTGGCTCAGTCCTGTGAATCCTGAGTCCCTGGCCTCTTCCCACGTCAATGGAGAGCTGGAGAGAGCGTTGCGCGGGTGCCTCTGTCCTTCCCGGCAAGGTGGCTGAAGAGGCCGCAAGGCTGGTGGTGTTGGATCCAGTGAGCAAGTGATGAAGGGCCAGCTCTCTGAGAAAGAAACAGTTCCCGACCATTGTGGCTCTCGTCCTTTGAGAGGTGCCGGTCGTGTCCCTTCTGATAGGGGCGTGTGC